ATCGTTTGAAGAGAGCAGTGGATCACACACTTTACGCGCTCTGGGAAGGCTTAGCGCCCCGCTTCAAGGAAGTATACTACGCCATTTGTGTGAGGTGGGGGCCGCCCAGTAGAGAGACGCTTGACGACATCATAGATGTTACGAGTTGGGTGGACTGTCTGAGGCCTATCGATCTGATTAGGTACTGCAGGAGACGGGCAGAGATCGATTACGCGGTGCTAGAGGACGCGTTATTTCTCTTCGAGGTCGCAGCTTAGGGAATGCCTGGAAGGACGACCACGGCGATGCGTGTAGAAGAGCAACTGGTAAGCACAGGATGTACTATGACAGTACTTCTCCGAGCGTACTCAGACGAGGACTTGACGGCGAGTGAGTGCAGACAACGAGCTAGGGATTTGATCCACGAGCGTAGAGCTGATGTACTGGCGCGAGTGACCTTCCAGACCTCGATTACTTATGATGTGATGATATGGTCTCATGGTTATATGCGCGCGGAGCACTACCACGATGAGACGGTAGAGGAGGCTAGAGCAAGGGTGAGAGGATGAGCTGGAGAAAGATGTGGACTGAGTATGGAAGAGGAGAGTGAGGCAGTCAGAAGAGTGAGAAAGCGCGTTAARGAACCACTCTTGAACCAGGTAAAGAAGTTGGGGGACAAGTTAGGGGAGAATTGGTCGTGTCAAGACGAGGACAAGTTGCGAAGGGCTGAACTCGTGACAAGAGAGTTAGACAATCTGTTTAGGGAAGAAAGAGAGATTATCCAGGCGTGGAGATCAGACTTTTTGGAGAAGGTAAAGGCTAGAAGCGTATCACGCCAGGGAACTAGTAAGCGATCTGGAGAGAGCGAGACAACGGAAGACAAAATAACACAAGGGAGTACCGACGAGACATGAGCGGGACTGCACTACACACGACGGATCGGTACTCATTACATGTGGTAGGGAGACTGGACGGACCATTAGTGTTAGTGATCATAGAACTCCAGCTCCATACCAGACTGTGCATAGTTGAGGAGACAGAGTGTTTCCGCCGTGCCCTGCGTGAGGCAAGGGGGACAGGGTTTTGGATTGGAATAGAAGGAGGACGGAGGATAAAATACGTACTCCGAGTAACACCCTTCGAAGGGCGGTCTCGGATAAGGGCATGGTACGAGACGACCAGAGAGGCTGAGAGGTTGAAGATAAGCGAAGCCAGGAAAGCTGGAGAGTTAGGGAGAGTAGTAATAGATGGTGCAATACTCAGGGTGTTAGCCGCTCACAACCGGTACTGGAAGGAAACGATGAAGACTTTAGAGGCGATAGACGAAGGGGGAGATAGTGAGGACTTTGAGACATTTTATGACATATTGGAGCGGTCGGCGATGAGGCTGCAGGTCGTTATAGCACTAACTTACCTCAGCTGTTAGACAGATGACATCGTAACTGTTGAGGAGATAAGGTAGTGGAAATARAAATTGGAAGCTCTTGGAAGGATARAGGAAGCTAGAAAGGTCGATGGGCGACATTGGGCGACAGTAGGAGGGCCTTTAGCGGGCTAACTGATTCAGACTGGGCTAGGAGGGCTAGCAAGGAGGACGGAGAGAGACGCTCGGGGACTCTTGAGGAGCGTTGATCAGGAGACGTTGGCTAGGTTTGGGATTGCAATCTGTCTCAAGGATAGAGGTCCTGTCAAGGGCGTACTGTGGGTCCGGACAGGCACGGCCTTGTTGACCGATCCCGAAGGAGAGGTTACTTAGACACAGGGATTCTTGGGAAAGAAAGAGGACACGAAATCTGCGATCGGAACGGGATATTGGAGGTGGTAATCAAGGCAGTCGAGGGCTAAGATTGGAGGCGAACGTGAGTCGTGACAAAGAAATAGGTCCGGGCTGCCGCGACTGTCACGGGTCCGGGCTGCAGCGACTGTCATAGGGTCGGGCTGTAACAGTTGGCTAGAATACCTAACTGCATCTTCTGGAGGTCCAATGGAACCCGACACGATGGGGCCACAACCGACCACGAGCGAAGCGGGAGAAGAGT